TATAATATATTAATGATAACAAATCATTCTAATAATATAATCAGGCGCTCGACAGAATAATGAAATCGAAGATACCGGCCAGATTGGCAATTTATGTCGAATGTTTTTGTTTTTTAGCTGAACAACTTTTACATCATTTTAAAAAAATGTAAATGTTCAGTTTACAAGGACTCCTAACCCCGTAAAAGTCACATATTGCGGCGGCCATCATCAGGTGACCTCCACGTCCTTCAATTGGAAATACATGTATCTTGAATTCTATTCAAGACAGATGGGTATTTTCTTTATCAAAATCAAGACAAATGAAAAACTACTCCATACGCCCAAAATTTGACGTGAGCCTGATTCCCCCGAGATGTAACTTGTTATTTGTCTTGCACGAGAACACACCCCACGACCACCCACCTGAACTGTCTTGCTTGAGACTTTCGTTTTTCTATTGTATGTGTGTGATCAGAATAATATGCTCAAAGCAGTTCTCTAGAAATTTTAAGTTTCCAGTAAAGTTGAAAAGATGAGGAAAAAGATATTGACTCTTACTGTGATGAAGCGATTTTCTTAAATGAGTGTAAAACTCGAAACACCATTACAGACATTACTAAGAGACACGTCTGATTTCTTGGGAAGGTGGGTTGGATTTATTTAACGTTTCTGTATAATTATTTGATTTATATATTCTCAGTGGAGTCTTGTGGGGCTGGGCTTCAGCACCACCTTTTTCGGGTTAAAATCAAAACAAAACATGACGAAATATAATAATGTATTCCGATAAAAACCGAAACGCCATGAACACCCAATCGAAACTTCTGAGGCGTATAAACTCAAAAAGTGATCTGGTTGGTGTGGGTGTCCACAACTATTTACTACGACTATAGCTCCGTCCAATCAGGCGCATTTTCTGTCGAAAAGAATGAAATTTTATGGATTTGTCCCTTAAGCCCCGGCTCTTAAATTCCCACTGTGTAAATATCACTGGGGTTTTGACCTTACATGGCTCAAAGCCGAGACAAAGCAACTGATGGTTCTTTTCGGCTAGGGGGCTGAAGCTGCACTGTGTCACGTGATAGGGCATCACCACTTGACTGTTGATACCAAATGTGCACACCTTCACGGCTCCAGGTCAAAGCATAGAGTGGACAGGACCTCTC